GTTGGAGCGGCTACATGGCCAATAAGAATACAAAGAAGAAGAAGAAGAAGATGGCCGCTCTCATGCTTCTCTCTGGTTGCAGCTAAATCCCGGGCATGGCCGCTCTCAGGCTTCTCTTTGGCTAAACAGCCAGTTTGAGCAACTCGTGAAAAATTTAAAGGAGTCCTAAAGCCCTGTGTCCATGATGCTAGACTCCGTCCGAATTCTTGGACAAAGAAATATGTAGCCAATTAACTTGCCATTTTACCGTAAAAACTACTTGTTGATTAGCTACACATTCCTAAAGCCAAGCACTTGGTAACCAAGTTCTAATACTGTAGGTATGTACGACTTCAAACAAAAGTTGAACAATTGATGTTGATAAACTTAATATATGTATCCTACACACGCATGCACACACGCATACAATATTATAGATAAAAAGTGAAATAACCCAAACAAGTAACAACACATATATGTTCAAAAACAAGACATAAAATGTTTTGAAGATGCCTAAAAGACATTTTTAAAACGTCTTAAATCTCGATTTTGGACTTTTTTTTGTCTGGAAAATATAGGAAATATTAATATTTGTTTATATATTGTTAATATTAATATTTTTTTTAACAATACATCTGATTAGATTAATATTTAAATGACTATATACATACATATATTATCTACTTGAAAAATATCCTTACTTTATAAAAATCGTGTATGTCATATCATGACAAAAACGTTTCTAAAAAAATTAAGTGTATCTCTCTCTCACTCTCTCTCTATATATATATGTATATATATATATATATGTAAATATATATTATAGTTATTTTAATATAATTTTTTTAGTTTAAGTTTCTGAGATATAAATAATTATGTCAATATAGCCAATTACAGACTACGTTTCGACGGTCACCTGTGAGTTTAGTGAGTGTGCTGAAGTAGCGATCTGCACCAACGCTCACTGATATACTATCGCATGCGCAATTCATAGGCAGGTAGCAATCTAAACATAGTTTGTAACTGGCTATATTTAAACCCTTACTGCTTCAAAAATTATTGTCTAAAATAAAAACTTACTTTTTTATTTAATTTTAAGAGAACTTTCTTGCTATAGTATTTTGAATCGTGAATTTTAGGGCACGCTGTATTGCAATTATTTTTATTAAAAAAGACTTTAACTCTAGTTATCCCATAATTAGTCGCGCAAATTAATTTAATCGATAGAGAAATAAATTTTCCGATTATATGGTTTATATATTGATTATTTATTGCTGTACTTTTTTACTCGTGTATAATAAGAAGTTATAATTCTATTTATATAGTATAATTAACAAGACAGCGTAGATAGATATTATTCGATAAGAGAAATAGGTAATCGCTGAGTAAGTCGATTAACTTAACTACCGAAATTACTTAATTTGTTCATTATTTAATGTTTTTTCCATACAATTTCAAAAATTCTATACTTCTATCCGTATTAACAAAACATAATGTAAATATACAATAAATTATAATTACTAATTAAATCAATTGGAGGATGATATTGAAATCACTTTAAAGAAGAAATTCAGATTTTCGAAATCAAGAAATTTGCGTCGCGAAAATAAAAAACGATAAAGGACTCGTGTATAATATTACTTGTACACAATTGATATGAATTGATATTCGATACATCCGATGTCTATTAATTAGCTGTTGTGCGAGATCCAGTAGGAGTAGAAATGTTTCGAGTACAAATATTTCACCTATCTTAAATAACACAATGTCACGCAGTGACTTAAAATTAACATGAAATTTTCATTTCAGTCAAGAAACTAACGGGATTCCCTAAACGTCTTATCGCTATCATTAACTATATACCCAATGAGAGATGCACTTTTTTCAGAATTGCCCTTGCCATTGGCTGTCGCTAACGATAATGACAATCGTCGATAAGACGTTAGAGAATTCCGTTACAGATAATAATATTTATATTGTAGTTCGTTCTTATTTTAAAGCTGTCTTTAAAAATGTATCTGAGATACTTCAAAATGATAATAAATTTATTTAAAAATTATAGATTATTCTAAATCACAATTAAAAGTAAATATGAGAAATTTTTTGGTGATAATTTACTATTTGGGGATCATATAAGTTATTTTAATAAGAATAGAAGTAGTATTTTTTTTAATCTGTCATGCTCTAATAGAAATGTGTGTGTATGGAATGTGATAAAATAAATGACAAAGAATTTAATTTTTTAATATAAGTACTTTATACACTCAAGATTATTTATTTAAACATTGCGATGCATGAACGAGTAAATAAATAAAATATTTATTTGTTTTAAATTTTTGTAACTAATTAATAGCAATAAAACTTCGCATAAGTTTGAATAAAACTTAAAATACTTAAAAAAAGTTTTGATTTTTGTTATTGTTTTTAAAATTTTAGTTTATATTTTTATAACAATAAGAATAATAACAAATAAACTATCAAAATGTGTTTAATAAAAACAGAATGTTATATGAATATAACTTTTATGTATATATATTTAGTTTATTTAAGTATAAGTTTATTCACACATTCAAAAAAGTAATTCAGATATATCCTTAATTAAACCTCAAAATGCTATAACGCGACACTCTCCTATTAATTCACAACATCTTAAAATTGTACGTAAGACAGTTTTGAGTAGAACTCTTATACATATATTGCCTTAAGTATAGTGTTAAAATGTCAAACCAATCATCCGTATTAGCTTTTAAGGTATTTATACTTATAGGCCTTCGTGATTCTATCGAGGCTTTGCGAAGAACCAAGCGAATTTTCAATTTTAAATTATTCTGCCTCAAATTTGGACACATACAAAAAAAGTAAAAAACGTTTCTGATCACTGTAAAATCATATCATTGTAAAATCGTATTCTTAAATATTGAAAGTGTACCAGAATTTTTTCAGACTCTTTAAAAAGATTTTGGTTTTAAAATAAAAACTCAATACGAGTATATTAGACTACTCGATGTTTTCGAATATCATGCTTGAGCTAATCATCATGACGAAATGCGATTAAGATGCCACACTGTACCACTTCATCTTATCTTCAAGTCGATATATTCATAGTATTCATATATGTATTGAAAGAAAACGTACTAAACTTCAATACACATATTTGTTTGAATAGTTCTAACTAAATATTCACTAAATATAAACGTATACACGTTATGTGTACATTTTTATTTGATACAAAAGAACTATTAATTTAACTGTTTATTATTCTTTTTATTTTGTAAATATTTATTTATCGTAATTAAATGTTAAGTTAAAATTAAATTTAGTTTTTCCTCGGTATATAGTCTGTTTTTCTTAAAAAAAAAATAAAATAAAAAAAGGATCAGCTGACCCGTATAGCAAATGAATCCTCGCGCACAACCCGTTAATTACTCGACTGCAACGCAATTTGTACTTAATTTATAGTTAATTAAATATTCGAGCGTGTTTGCGAAACTTTGCGGCGCGCTCGATATTAACCGTGAGCGCCACTAATCCAATAATTTGTTTCCCGAACACTGTATTGCCCGAGCGGAACGCGCGTCGCGCAATCGCCGTGACGCGGCGCAACACAGACGTCATCGCGTCCTGGTCCTCCAAAAAAAAAAAAAAAAAAAAAAAAAAAAGAGGTCCTATAGGTATAAGACGGTATCTTCAGCCCACCCTCCCCTATATACGCGGAACAAGTATAGAGAGGACGCGAGGGGCGAATGAATGAAACGCAGAAAAGGGAGGAAACGTTTGGCAGCCGAGACGCCCCAGGTCAACCAGGTGCGCGCTCGTCTCTCGTCTGCTGCCAGGAACCGCCACGGTGCGGAGCTAGAGAAGCGTAATCGCGGGCGCGCGCGGACGCTCGATTGACGATCTGACGTAAATTACGGTATAGAAGAGAATCCGAGAGACCGACGGTTAAGTCGCCACACCGCGCCGACCAGAGGGGAATCCATCGTCGCAGGTGAGACGAGGTGGGAGATCGCGTGCTCGTCGTGTTCGCCAAGCATTCGCGCGTGCACGGAGTTAAGCTCTGAGGCAGCTGAGCGACCGTGCGTAATATGTGTATCGGTGAAACGACAACAATAACAACGTCTACGGCGCGGCAACGACAGTGGCGAGTGTGTGACACGGTGACGGTGTAGAGTGCGGTGCGTGGCGTCGACGACCTGCCAGCGGACGAGGCACGGCGACACCTGCTCGCTAGATACGTAGACGTGCGGCACCGCGGTGACGCGCGTACGGCAGAAGAATATTAAGTAACGGACGGACGTGTGCGTGCGTACGGCGCACCAAAAGCGAAGACGGCCATACTCAATAAACAACGGCCGAGCGGAGTGCGCGACTACTACGAGAGATGAAGTAGATAATAGAGTATCAGAAACGGAAGAGAAGGAGAGAAAGAGACAGAAAAAAGAGAGAGAGAGAGAGAGAGACTCCTCTTCGCGAACTACACGCAAGCGGGCCGCGCGCGTGAAGCTGCAGAACGGGCAGAGAGAGAGAGAGAGAGACGAAGAGAGAGAATCGAGAAAAGAGAGACGAGACGACAAACGGAGGCGAATCTGACGAATTGAGCTGAGCCGAGCCGAATCGAATCGAATCGCAGTCGGCGCGAGTGTAACCACGATAAATCGGTGCGCGAGGGCGAGCCAACAGCAGCAGCAGCAGCAGCAATAACGAGTAGCGAGGAGCACACGAAGGAGCGGCCCGGAACGGGCGGAAGTGTGGGTCGTGCGTGCCTCTGCGTTCGTGCGGCGTGTACAGAGAGAACGTTGGAAAAGGGATAGCAGACAGCGGCGGCGGCAGCAGCAGCAGCGGCGGCGGTGACGAGGACAACGACAACGACGACGGAGCAAGCAGAGGCGGCCGCGGCGGCGAACGGGGCACCGGTGATCGAGCTTGGCGCGGGGGTCCAGTTGGTCGGCGGGATGAGCGCCAAAACGGACGTCAACAGGCGGGTATTAGCGATCCAGGCGAAGAAGAAGCGGCACAAGCCCAGCAAGCGCAAAGGCAAGACCTCGAATTCTCAAAGCGAGCAGGACGCACAGAGCTCGAAAGGGTCGCGTGCCGGTCAGGTAGCGGCTACTGCGACCACCACCACAACCACCGCCACCACAACCACCGCCACCACCTTTACTACCACCACTACCACCAGGTGGTACGAGGACGCTTTGGACGGACTCCCGCAGCGCGCCTATAACAGCGACAATGGGACCAGGTAACCCTGACATGTCCGGTTGGCGAATAGCCGACGGCACTGATGAGGACTCATCCGTACTTATTACGTTGTATCGCTTTCCGGTGTTGCACCAAGCGCCGCGATGACACCACGTTACACTGGCACGCATATCCCACGTTTCTGTCACGATTACACGCGCGTGTCGACGGTGACAGTTATAACCGTTCGAGAAATTACCGGCTCCGTTAAATGCCGCGTTCTGTTTTGACCTCGACTCCTTTCCGTCATTCGGGTTCCTGTTTTATGGAGATATCGATAAGTGGCTGATTATATATACATCGGGATTACCGGGAAACGAAATCGTGAATAACAATGATTAATGTAATATTTAATATAAGATAATAATTTTGTGGACAGTAATCTCTATAGTAATTGTAGGGATTAGAGGATTAATCAAAAAATATAAACAATTATTCGTGTAACTAAATGTGCTAATCAGAATCTTGGCAACAGTCATGTCAAAAACATATATTTGATTTATAATCTTCGATAATAACGTTTCTGAATTATTTGGTAAAAATTACATTTGTTACTTATAAAAGCATCATCATAGTAGAGATAGCCAACGTGAAACTTAGCTAATTACACTTAACTGTTGAAATCAATCGTTTTCTCGCTTGATTTTATTCATTCTTATGTCACGAGGAAGAATCGATTGTTGCAAGTGTCACGTTAGTTATAATAACATATCATTTATGATCAATGAATCTGTCGTAGATTGGTACCATGTCATAGTTCCAGCAATGAAACGATAGAAGACGATGATGCGTTCAGTACTGAGGATGAAGAGCAGGAGGATAGCAGTGACTACTGTAAAGGCGGATATCATCCTGTGAAAATAGGAGATCTCTTTTTAAATCGCTATCATGTCACTCGTAAGCTTGGCTGGGGTCACTTCTCCACTGTATGGCTCTGCTGGGACTTGCAGGTACGCTTCATGGATACAGTAATCAATCTTCTTTCACACCTACATAAACACGGGACGTTTTGACACTATGCTGCAGGATAAACGTTTTGTGGCGCTTAAAATAGTGAAATCCGCATCCCATTTCACTGAGACTGCATTGGATGAAATTAAATTATTAAAAGATGTGCGCGATACAGATCCCACCGATCCTAAGCGCAATAAGACCGTCCAATTGCTCAATGACTTCAAGATCAGCGGCATTAACGGCCTGCATGTTTGCATGGTATTTGAAGTGCTTGGACATAATCTTCTTAAATTGATTATCAAGTCAAACTACAGAGGAATTCCAAGAAATAACGTTAAACGCGTCATCAGACAAGTTCTCGAAGGTCTCGACTATCTTCATAATAAATGTAAGATGAATGTTTAAGTCAATGATAGCATTGAAATTTACATACATATTTAGTCAGCTTTACGCAATAATTTTAACAGTATCTTAAATTTTAAATGAAAAGAAATGGAACTCGTTACAATTGTGATTTCAATAAGTCTATGACTTTGTAGTATATGTTCAATTCTCTTTCAGGTAAAATTATTCATACAGACATTAAACCTGAAAATGTTCTTGTATGCGTCGATGAGATTTATATACGAAAATTAGCTTGTGAAGCAACAGAGTTGCATTCTATGGGAGCGAAGTTACCGGTGTCTCTGATTTCTACCGCGCCGAAGGAGTTTCAAGAACCGATACCAAATTCCAAAATGTCTAAAAACAAGAAGAAGAAGTTAAAGAAGAAAGCCAAGCGCCAGAACGAGCTCTTGAAAAAGCAAATGGAGCAAATCGAGGAGTTAGAGGAACAAATTAAACTTGCGAACAGTATGAGAGAAAACGGGGAAGTTGAAACGAATAGTCTAGACCAAGATCTCAATACAGAGAGCGTAGAGGACAATACGGAGAGCAAAGGTTCTCCGGATATCTCGGAGCCATCAGCACCTTCTTTACATATGAATGGAGTAGATGGTTTAGCGGGCGGTGAAAAGATACAAAATCCATCGCCCGAACAATCTGAAAAGATGGACAATATCACTTTATGTGATTTGGAGAAAAGCTGTGGCGAAGGTGTATTATCACCTGATCCTGATGACACTGACGAATGTAGCGAAGGTAAAAATAAGTAATTGCTACTATCGCAATTTTGCAATAACTGCGCAGTCTCTTTTTATTTTCTACTGCAATTGTCTTTATCATCCATTATCTTACTTGTTATAGGTCGTAGATCATTAAATCCACCGGAAAGTAAGCAATTGAAACGAGCATCCATGTCTCCTTTGGATCCTGCTATAATGGACTGCGAAATAGAAGTAAAGATAGCAGATCTTGGAAACGCTTGCTGGGTGCATAAAAAATTCACGGACGATATTCAAACTCGTCAGTATAGGTCACTCGAGGTTCTATTAGGTTCTGGATATGATACCTCTGCCGATATATGGTCTACCGCTTGCATGGCGTTTGAATTGGCGACTGGCGATTACCTCTTTGAACCGCACAATGGCAAAGACTATTGCAGGTAACGATTATAAGATTCAATTACAATCGTACAAAGCTTGTAAAAGTTTAAGTATTTTTATCGATTTTTATTAACATTTCAGAGATGAAGATCACTTGGCCCATATTATCGAATTGCTGGGAGAAATACCAAGACGTATCGCTCTCTCGGGGAAAAACTCAAGGATATACTTCAACAGGAAGGGTGAATTAAAGCATATTACCGGATTGAAACCATGGGGTCTATACGAAGTATTAACAGAGAAATACGAGTGGACGTCGAGCGAAGCACGCGAGTTCGCAGAGTTCCTAATACCGATGCTCGAGTTCAATCCGAGCATGCGAGCTACCGCAGCTGAGTGCCTGAAGCATCCGTGGCTGCAAATCAAAAAGTGATCGCGTTTTTTATTGTTTTATCTGTAATATCCCTTCAACTTTCACCCGGTCCTACCGCCCAGTCGTAATCGTAAATCGAGAGTGTGATAGGAAGCCGAAAACACTTGTCAATGTCAGGTGTTATTTCCGTACTGAAAATCATAATTTAATGACCCAATTTGCATACGAAGAACAAGTGCATCGTTTCAAGAGCGCGTACACATACACATATATATACACACTAGAAAACTGTTTGATATAATATGAATTACGGAAATAAATTGTAACATACGTTGTTATATTAATCATACGCTACAAGCGTGTCTCCGCGTGGGTACGATGTTACGAAACTGAAAACGTTTCGAAAAGATTGTTATATACCCTTTACAAATGGTGATTTGACAATATTGCGGAAGTCGCCTCTCGAATGCAGCGAGCGAAGTGTCGCAAAATCCGGAAATTGTTAGAGAAGAAGATCTTGCAACATTCCGCTGATTTCCACGTAAAAAGAAAACGGCCGCGCGCGTGCTTCCTAACGTAACACTCTCAACACATCGGCTGACCATTTGTAGTTGTACACTTGTTAAATCGTGTTTTTAATTAGTGATGAGAGAACTTAAATTAAAAAGAAATTTTTCATAGTACTTTATATATACATTATTTTACACACATTCGTGTCGCATACTTCGTACTCGTCAATTTAATTTATCTATGAGTATATTTCAAGAGTCGTGGGATCTACTCGTAATGCGCTGTGAAAATATTGGCGGGCTCGGTATCGTGTTTGGTTTAAAATTAGGACTCATTGCCTTGACTCAGTTATCCGTGTGTACTTTTATATATCGCACACACCGGTCGCTGTAAATTCTTGCCAACAAACTCGTGAAGTCGCAACAGGACAGAAATGGCTACTTAATTAATATTTTACGTCTACCTCAATATATACGTGAGCCGGTTAGAAATACTCATCAACAGATGCACATAACGAGGGACCGCATTGAAATAAGTGTAAATTGAATTAGAGAGGTCTATATATAGTAGATAATTAAGAGTCGATCACTAGATTCTTGGAATATATAATTTATGCGAGCGCTGATTGAGATAAGACAATATTGCATGCACATATATTTCATGATTTTATTTTTCATTTAGTTTGGAGTTTTATATAAAATTTCAGAATTTTTTTTTTCTACTGTTGTGTCAAAATAATTAAATTTTATTCAACAGCATACTATAAAAGAAATAGATAATGTGGTAAAACCGCATTTGTAAATGTTATAAAAAATTGACATATATATGTATATATATACTTTTATAAAAACAAATGTATATATGAACGACACCAACAAGACTAATAACATATCTAATATGCGATTTACTTATGAAAATGTATATATGCATCTTGTCTTATTCCATTACGCCTCGCAATACTGATATTATAATAAACATTTCTGTTTGTTATGAATTTGTTTACGTCGCTAATGCGAATGCCTGTATACATAATGTACAATTACGAAAAGAAAGAGTATATCTATATTGCGAGTAGGATCTTTGCAAACAGGATGAGAGCAGTTGTAACAAGAATACTATTAGGTTCAAACTTCTTTACTTTATGAACACTGACTGACTACAAAGCTCTCTGCCGATAATAATTGTCTTCTATTTTATAAACGCTAAAGCGAAGCAGTGCGTTCCACTAGATCGTTTATGTCGCGTATATACTTTCCTATGCACGAATTCAATTCATGCTTCCTGCAGAATGTTCTGTTTCGCTTCGCCTGTCAATCTGAAGTTTGACAAAAGGACTCGATCGAACTACATATGTGAAGATGCGTACGTGGAAGTATACATTTCGTCATGATGTATAAAATGTCTTTTTTCGCTTATTGTAGTTGATTTCTTCCCGGGTAAAAGAGGAAAATACTCTAAAAATATACAGCATTTTATGATTTTTTAAAAACAATATGTATTTTTTATTTCTTTTAGTTTTTAATTAACAATAATTTTTATTTGATTACACGTAAACACTTCAACATGAAATAATGTATACGTCGCAATTTTTAATTTATTAAAAATTGAGCGTTTTTATGAAATATATTTATTGATTTTCATTCATATTTTCATTGTCTGTATGCTATTTTATTTAGCAATAAATCCAGTCAATTGAAAAAAGAAAACATTCATATTCTGAAATTGATAGTATAAATAAGAAACAGATAATACAATACTCAAAAGAGAAAGTGCCTCTTCTACCCGCGCTATAATTGATATCAGATAGAGGAAGAATGCGTTTATATGCCATTTTATCTCGGAAATACGAAATCTGATGCATTTTAGTTTTCTCGTAACCCGTTATTTCATATTTCACGTTTCTCTTGCAGGAGCTTTTTTGTGAATCTCGTATAGTCTTCAATGACAGTGTGTTTATGGTAAACTGTACAGTATAACTAAATTTTAAACGGCTAATATTTGGTACTGTTCTTATGAAATATGGCCAGTGAAATCTATCATTATAAAGGCAACGAACACAGCTCGATTTAATTTTTCCTTTAATTTCCTTCGTTACTCATGATAGAGAAGACGCTTTTAATCAAATCAATATCGAGCTGCTGCTCGGCCTTGCTCGACTCTTCAGCTCCTAATGTCACTTGTAAATTTCGAAACTCACGTGTAATATCTTCTGAAAAACAAATATAAAGCTATATAAATTCCGAATCTGTGTATAACCGAAAATCGAAACCGATGCAATCTCAGTGAATTTAAGTTTTTGTTATTAGAGAATTATAGGAACACAAGAATTCTCTGAAGAATTCTCTATAAATAAGCAAAATAATTAAATCTATACCTAATTGTTACAAACATTTTAATTAAAATGCCGGAAACGAGAGAAAAAATATTGTTTAATTGTTTTGATATTATTTTTCGAGAGAAGTGAAGTTAAAAATTATATCGCAAATGGAAATCGAGGTAATTTTTACGTGTCGTTAGAATGGTAAAATTGAATTCAATAAAATTTATATACATATATATCGGTTTCTATCTCCGGTTAAGAAATTATAGAGAGATAGGTATCGATTCGAAGTATAAAGCTGGAGAAATGCGCTTTCTCCGATTTAATTATCAATAATCGGTCGTTGACTAGACCTAATGATTTGATTAGACGATGAGTCAGCGTAGGCATCGAAATCGCGTCCCGATCGTCTCATTTATTAGATCAATCGAAGCTCAAATACCGTGTTGCCGGCGGCGTTCGCGACTTTACAAGTCGTTGCGTCTGATCGTTTGCACTGTCATCATAGATATATCTCATATTAATATATTATATGTAACATACATACATATATATATATTAATATCTCTAGTATATATAATATATATACTCTATATATAAACACATGGATATATTGAAACGATAACTTACATAGGTGTGACTCGCTGCTTGGCGTTAGGATATAGTTAGAAGGAATTAATTAACAAATGATAATATAGAGCGAACTGTGTATAGCCCTTGATGTACGAGATGTCCCCATCGACCTTTTCCGACTCACAAGCGGAATAATTTTATTTGTGCGAAGTAGATAGCAAAGAAAGGGAGAGGAAATGAGAGACAAGTAGCCGCGAAGTGCTCCATTTCTTTTCTTTTTTTTCCCCCCTTTTGCAACAGAGAGATCTCTCGCGCGTAATATGTATAAATGTAAGAGATTCGCGGATGTGGAATGATTATGCAGGGATCAGTCGGATGAAAGGGGAGGAAGTGGTGTATAAATACAGGGACCCAATATATTGAGATTCACACACCAGGGACTCATGTTCCAATCGGTAGATTCTAAACGTTGTACCGAGCGAAACAGATTTGTTCAATCGGGTATATTAATCGCGCTCGAGAAGACCTCGAGTGTCGATCTGACACGATACACACCAATATTTAAATTATAATATTATACTTTGGGATCGGAGCAACCGATATCATATCGCGGCTTAGAAATAATAAGTTCCCGCATGATAGATTACGGTTGTAATCTCACGCACGTGCGCTTCTCTCAGATAAACTTTCGACATTCCTTTTCTCGTACGGGCCGAGCCGCGAGATATGATACCGATTGTCTCCTCGTTCTGAAAATGATAATTGCGTATAATACGCAATAATTTGTATGATGTTAAACGTACAGCGGAACCGCATTATGCAAGCCGTCGGTTGTTCCTTAATTATAATCATTACTGAAACGTAAATCGTTGCGGGAATCCGCTTCTATTGAAGTCTTCAAAGGACGACAAAGCGTGTCGATACCACGACATTAAAATGTGAATGCGAGGAATGTGGCCTTGATCGAGGAGTGAAAATTACGTCGACGATAAGCTTTGCGTGCGCATTGTCGAAGGGATTTTACCGCGCGGTCTCCTCTTTGTAATCTTAAGAAATTGGAATTGTTGGGGAGAGACGCGAGAGCAATGAACATTTTTTTGACGAAGAGAATGCTTTGCTATCAAACACCAAGTTTTATTACATGTAAGTCGCAATGCGCGCGAGATACTGTAAATATTGCGGGGTAAAAACCCGGTGCGGGGTTTTGCACATTTTTAGAAGAGCGTTCGCATATTTAGGCGATCGGCTATTTGGCGATTAAACCGTGGAAGGGTTGGCAGAGACCTTTCCGAACGGGTCACGACATAAAAAATGTACAGCGATTATATATCAGAATCAGATAGAATCGGAGAAGATATTGGATTGTGCGCGCGCGAGCGAGGACGAAAAGGGAAGATAGAGAAAGGGAGACGCGAAATTGTGTGGCGTACGATAATATTATTATTATCTCACTGATTGGTACATAGTCATACTGGTCTCGTAGCGTTATAGAGAGCCATTTAAACTCTGCATGCTTAGCCAATTTGCGATCGCCGGCAGGTCCACGAGGTCCCGCCGCGCGACGGACGTTTTAATAAGGGTGTAAAACTATCGATAGAGGCGCGTGTAGGCGCCCGCGATACGTGACGATCATCTTTAGAAGTTCATCGAGCCGACAAAAACGGGACATGCAAGTTACAGCGAATTGAGCCCGGACGATGCGTCGCGAGAAAAACGACTGGAGCAACGGGACAGGGAAAGCAGAAACGGCGATGTTGTTGTCGTGCTCCTCTTCTAGACAATATCCCAGTTTAGCGCGATAAAAATATGTCCTTTGTACCGGCTGGATGATCGAATCCTCTCGCGAGAGGACCGGAGAGTACGCTTGATTGGCTCATTAATCCGCCTGATCGCGTCACATATCTGCAAGATGCGGAGGAACGGGAGGCGTCACTTGGGCACGCGTCGTCATTGGGTTTCCTGTAAATAACGAGCGAATTAATTTCGAAATTTTCGCATTTTTAAGCGCGTTCCGTTCGGCGTTTAATTACAAGATTATGTTTGTTCCATTTTCAAAAATGACAGAGTAAGGAAAGATTCTTACTCGCATCCGATTTTTTCGTGGAACCGTTCCTTTCCTAGTCGCATAATCCATCGCATTTTACGTAGCAAATTCCTATAGTAGATTTCTCCTGACTTCTGCACTAATGAATATTTGAAGAAAACGTTAAATCATCGTTCAT